CATGATTCTCATACATTTCCGGCTTATTTCTCATCGATTTTAAAGCTAAAATTCCTATTTTTAACGCTTCAAAGTTTTCTTCGAACAGAATGCCCATATACAGAACCATGAACAGTAGGTATGACGACTCGTCAAAATATTTCAGTAATTCTGTAGAAACTTTTACGGAATTCAAACGTGAAGTTTTCACACATTTTCTAACTATAAATTTATGATCAAGTTCAGTTAATTTTGCCGGATGAACATTTCTTACTTTGCTTACAATCCGAATTTCTTTTTAGCGTTTTATCACATACAGCTTTAGAATGACAATAGAGAGTTTTTGCATACCGAACGTTAGTTACCGTAGGACGTCCGTTAGCTTTTTCTCCCTAGCGCGCATGCTCATAGGAAACTGAGCATGCGCGCTAGGAAGAAAAAGCTAACGGACGTCCTACGATAACTAACGTACGGTATGCAAAAACTCTCTATTAATTTACTACTTTAGAGTTATTTAGAACTGATTTCCCGCTACTGATGAAAAATAATCAAGTTTGGAATGCTGTTTGTTGTTTGTTTAGAACTGCGATCTATTTTTAAATAATAAATAGATTGTAAAGAATAAGCAAGTATACATTAAAGCCAAACGATTATTTGTATGTCTCCAAATTGCCAAAAATAAAAAATTAAAACTTCACACCACAATTTTATTTATGGATTTATTCCAAAATATTTTGGTATGCAATCACTTTTATGGCGTATCCATTCTGTATCAACCTTGCATTTTTAATTTTTTCCAAAAAAAATGTGTCTATATTTTTAAAAAAATAAATTTCGATATTATTCAGAATTTCAGAAAGATGATAAAAAAATATTGGATTTTTATATTAGAATTCAATCCAAACTGCAGAGGGTTTTTTTTTACCAATTTTTGAAGTGAACGAATACTTTTGGGAGCCATTGTAGACTATATGCAAGCCATCATGTAAAACATGTTTTCCTACAAAATGGTTTCTCAAATACAATTCAAGAAAATCTTACATAAGACGACATTACCGCATAACGTTCTCACTCTAACGTAGTTTAAGAAATGTGAAAAAAGGTTTAACAACACGATATTTTGTAATAAAGTTCAAGAAATTAGGCACATGTACAACAAACCACTTCGATCAATTCACAACTACGATCAATTTCTGTTGTTGTTGTTGTTGTTTCTTATCCCACTTGGCTGGCCAAGCCCACGAGCCCATATGGACTCATGATTGAAGGGGAAGGAAGCAGCTTCTGTTGTGATGGAGCACCCGTAGGTAGAAGCCTGACTTTTGCTCCGTGACGCTCTTACAGTCATAGAAGACCGGGACCTACGGCTTAAAGTGGATTCCGAACCACTACAAACATATCCATGGTACCGCCGGGATTCGAACCCGAAACCTGTGGCACCGAGCGCCAGACACTCGGCCATTCAGGTCCCAAATTTGCCAACGGCACGCAGTGTTCCCAGGTGGTCACCCACCCAAGTACTGACCGCGCCCAATGATGCTTAACTTCGGTGATCTGACGAGAACCGGTATATTCAGCATGGTACGGCCGTTGGCTTACGATCAATTTCTAAATAATACATAGAATGGAACGAAGTAAGCAAATATAGATCAAAGCCAAACGATTATTTGAATGTTACCAAATTGCCAAAAATAAAAAATATAAACTTCAAACCACAATTTTATTTATGAATTTATTCGAAAATATTTTGGCGTACAATCACTTTTTTTGGCGTATTTATTCTGTGCCTCCTTGCAGTTTTATTTTTTTCCAAAAGAAAATGAGATTATATTTTTCTTTAAAAAAAATTCGATTTTATCCAAAATCTCAGAAAGTGGATATGAAAAAATATTGAACTTTATGTTAGAATTCAATCCAAACCACAGAATTTATTCTACCAATTTTTAACGTGTATGAATACTTTTGGGAGCCGCTGTATATATGCAAACAATCATATATAACATGCTTTCATACAAAAAGGTTTCTCAAACAGAATTCAAGAAAATCTTACATAAGACGACATTTTTAAATCACGTTGTCTCTCTACACACCTTTAGCACAGTTTAAGAAACGATAAATGTTTTTAATAACACGTTATTTATATAATAAAGATCAAGAAATTATACACATTAGTACAACAAACCACAGAACCTGCAAAACCGATACAACTTCGGTTGAAATATTACAATAACTGTTAAGGAATTATTAATTCCTGAATGGATTTTGCCGAGTTTATTTTATATTTGTATCGGAATTAAATCGTGCGAAAGTTAATTTTTAATTTAAAAATAAAAAGTATTTTGGGTAGACTTGTATTATTCTATGTTAAACAAGAACACCCACGTGATATCGCGCATAAGATTTTATCATACAGTGCAAGTGACGTATAATATATACAATTGTTTGTTGTTGTTTCTTATCCCACTTGGCTGGCCAAGCCCACGAGCCCATATGGACTCATGATTGAAGGAGAAGGAAGCAGCTTCTGTTGTGATGGAGCACCCGTAGGTAGAAGCCTGACTTTTGCTCCGTGGCGCTCTTACAGTCATAGAAGACCGGGACCTACGGCTTAAAGTGGATTCCGAACCACTACAAACATCCATGGCACCGCCGGGATTCGAACCCGAAACCTGTGGCACCGAGCGCCAGACACTCGGCCATTCAGGTCCCAAATTTGCCAACGGCACGCAGTGTTCCCAGGTGGTCACCCACCCAAGTACTGACCTCGCCCAATGATGCTTAACTTCGGTGATCTAACGAGAACCGGTATATTCAGCATGGTACGGCCGTTGGCATATATATACAATTGGATAGTTATACATTGCTAGACATGTGATATCATATACAATTGCATAGCTATACATTGCTAGACATATATCATAAATTTCTTTAAATTTTTAATTTTTAGAATTTTTTCTTTTAAATAATAATTAAAAAATTTAAAATTTAAAATTAAAAATTAAAAAAAAAAAATTTAATTAAAGCTTTTTTAAAAATTATTTAAATAATTTTAATTTTTTTAAAGTTTAAAAAAAATACATTAAATAAAAAAATTTAATGAAAATAATAATAATTTTAATTTTTAAATAAATTCAAATAAATTTAAATTTTAAAAATTTTTTAAAAAATTTCAATTAAATAAACAAATATATATATTTAACAAAAATACAATTAAATGCTTTAATTTTTTTTTTTCAATTCTTTTTTTCTCTACTATTATTTTTATTCATTACAAATCCATATCAACAAGGTCACATTCTTATAATTGCAAACTGCTTCAATCAATACTTTAACCATAATCTTTCATTTCTAAATTTTTACATACGATTGATTGCGAAGTTTTATAGCTCACTTTATTCTACATCCAAATAAATATTCAACATAAAGCGACAAAATTAAAATGAAGGATTTTTTTTCAATCTCATTTGTTAAAAATATTCCATGTACAAAGAACTCTCATTGCTCAAACGCGGCACGGCCTAATTACATGAAAAATTGAAGTTGATTCTGGTCCAACATCAGTTATCGCAAATGAGGGGAAATATGGCACGGGGCCAAGGTCACTCGAGTAGTTAAAGCTCTGATGTTAGAGAAAGGCAGAGGTCATTGTCAATAAACTTTAGTGGGTCGCATTTGTGTTGCTGGGGAGAAAATTTGTCCAACCAACGGTTCTTATGAATCGATACAGAATCTTTTTCTTCTTTACTTTTTTCAGAATAAAATGCATTTTATTGATCTTTAAATAAAAGAACAAGCGTCTTGTGCATTCTGCCCTTGCAATGCCATTAAATATTCTTTCAATAATTTGACAACAATACAGCAGTTTTAGATTTAGTTAATATTGCAAAACGTACTACTGTGTCCAAAAAGTAAGACCACTTTCCAATTTAAAATTCCCGGGACTAATGGAATTTCTTTTTTTTTTCTTTTTTAGGTTGCTCGCACTGTCCTTGACATCTGTGTGAAATATGACGTCAAAATATTCATTAGTGTTTCAGTTACGCTTGGCTTTGTGAGACGCTAAAACTGATTCCGGCGATTTTACAAATGCATGAGTTAATTGAGCAAAGAACTTGCATTCAATTTTGTTTGCTGAAACGTATAAAATGTTGCAGAAGGCATTCTTTGAGCATTCCTATATAGGAAAGAAATATTTAGAAGTGATATAAGCAGTTCAAAGACGGTAGAGAACCCGTTGAAGACGAAGAGTCCTCTGGTCGACCATCAATCTGAACCAAAGAAGCTCACGTCCAAAAAATTAAATATTTGGTGCTTGCAAACCGTCGATTTACAATTAGAGACCTTGCTGATGATGTTGGAATTTCAAAAGAATTGGTCCATTCCAATCTGAGCCTCAAAGGCATCAAATCTCGATTGGTACCGAAAACACTGAATGCGCCAGCTCATACTGCATTGATTCTTCGTGACGTTTTCGTCAAAAATGAAACCCATATCGTTCCAGCGTATTCACATCGTGCGACCTCTGGCTATTCATTAACTCAAAAGAGAACTACGGAGATACAATTTTGAGTCAATTGAAGAGATTTAACGTGAATCGCAGTGAGTTTTGAACGCTATCACAGCCGATGACTTTTTAGCATACATTGAGGATTGGAAAAAAAAGTTGGCATAAGTGCGTTGTGTCCACAGGGGATTACTTTGAAAGCGGTGAAATAAATTTGGAAGAATAAATAAAGAGTTTTTGAAAAAAAAAAAAATAATGGGTCTTACTTTTTGGGCACTGCAGTACATTGTTCTGCGATTAAATATTCTTACAATAATTTAACAAAGTAATGCAACAGTTTTATGTTTAATTTATGTTATAAAATATTCAATTTGATTGAAAAATATTATTTTTAAATGCACTAGTCGATAATGCTGTTGAAATATTTAATGGTCCCGTTTTATTAGCAGCTTTTAGTCTCCTACTAATAAATAACCTATCTAAAATCGTATTTCATTTTACGTATAGGGGAGTGCCAACGGCCGTACCATGCTGAATATACCGGTTCCCGTTAGATCACCGAAGTCAAGCATCATTGGGCGCGGTCAGTACTTGGGAGGGTGACCACCTGGGAACACCGCGTGCCGTTGGCAAATTTGGGACCTGAATGACCGAGTGTCTAGCGCTCTGGCGCTCGGTGCCACAGGTTTCGGGTTCGAATCCCGGCGGTGCCATGGATGTTTGTAGTGGTTCGGAATCCACTTTAAGCTGTAGGTCCCAGTCTCCCATGACTGTAAAAGCGTCACCGAGCAAAAGTCAGACTTCTACCTACGGGTGCTCCATTACAACAGAAGCTGCTTCCTTCCCCTTCAATCATGGGTACGTATGGGCTCGTGGGCTTGGCCAGCCAAGTGGGATAAGAAACAACAAAAACACGTATAGGGGAATTCTAGTTTATAAAATCGATAATGATATGGTAAAAAGGTAAAACATCTCAAGCTATCCCATTTGTCTTTTCTTAAAAGTAGATTACACACTACGTTAATAATTCATTATATCCAAATGTTTAATCTACAATTAAATATAAAGAGTTATCCATGTAATGAGTAATCTACTTTTAAAAAGCAAACTCTATGTCTTGGTGTATAGCATATAAATCATATAGTATAGTGTTGTAGTTGTTGTTTCTTATCCCACTTGGCTGGCCAAGCCCACGAGCCCATATGGACTCATGATTGAAGGGGAAGGAAGCAGCTTCTGTTGTGATGGAGCACCCGTAGGTAGAAGCCTGACTTTTGCTTCGTGACGCTCTTACAGTCATAGAAGACCGGGACCTACAGCTTAAAATGGATTCCGAACCACTACAAACATCCATGGCACCGCCGGGATTCGAACCCGAAATCTGTGGCACCGAGCGCTAGACACTCGGCCATTCAGGTCCCAAATTTGCCAACGGCACGCAGTGTTCCCAGGTGGTCACCCACCCAAGTACCGACCGCGCCCAATGATGCTTAACTTCGGTGATCTAGCGAGATTCGGTATATTCAGCATGGTACGGCCGTTGGCATATAGTATAGTAAGTATAGTAAATACATAAATAACATATTTAAATTTTATTAACAGGAATGTAACTATTTTGAGAGAACCGAGATGATCGATAGTTTGAATTTTTTGACAGTAATACAGTCAATAGATGAGTCAAACACATAATAAATGAGATCATAGAAATGAAATATTTTTTCCATGAAAATAAAAAATATTAATTACGTTATTAATGTATTTACGTGAAATATAGTAATGAAACCAAATGTCTTCTAATAATAATCAAGTGAATTTCAAATAGTAATCTAGTTAATTTCAAGTAGTAATCACGACAGATATTTTCTAATAGTAATCAAATCAGATATTTTCTAATAGTAATCAAATCAAATGTCTTCTAATAGTAATCAAGCCAAATGTCTTCTAATAATAATCAAGTGAATTTCAAATAGTAATCTAGTTAATTTCAAGTAGTAATCACGACAGATATTTTCTAATAGTAATCAAATCAAATGTCTTCTAATAGTAATCAAGCCAAATGTCTTCTAATAATAATCAAGTGAATTTCAAATAGTCATCAAGACAGGTGTTTTCTAATAGTAATCAAATCAAATGTCTTCTAATAGTAATCAAGCCAAATGTCTTCTAATAATAATCAAGTGAATTTCAAATAGTAATCTAGTTAATTTCAAGTAGTAATCACGACAGATATTTTCTAATAGTAATCAAATCAAATGTCTTCTAATAGTAATCAAGCCAAATGTCTTCTAATAATAATCAAGTGAATTTCAAATAGTAATCAAGACAGATGTTTTCTAATAGTAATCAAATCAAATGTCTTCTAATAGTAATCAAGCCAAATGTCTTCTAATAATAATCAAGTGAATTTCAAATAGTAATCTAGTTAATTTGAAATAGTAATCACGACAGATGTTTTCTAATAGTAATCACGACAGATGTTTTCGAATAGTAATCAAATCAAATGTCTTCTAATAGTAATCAAGCCAAATGTCTTCTAATAATAATCAAGTGAATTTCAAATAGTAATCAAGACAGATGTTTTCTAATAGTAATCAAATCAAATGTCTTCTAATAGTAATCAAGCCAAATGTCTTCTAATAATAATCAAGTGAATTTCAAATAGTAATCTAGTTAATTTCAAATAGTAATCTAGTTAATTTCAAATAGTAATCAAGACAGATGTTTTCTAATAGTAATCAAATCAAATGTCTTCTAATAGTAATTAAGTCAAATGTCTTCAAATAATAATCATGTCAAATGTCTTCTTATAGCAATCAAGTCAAGCCTTCTTATAGTAATCAAATCATATGTCTTTTAATCGTAATCAGGTCATATTTCTTCTAATAGCAATCAAGTCAAATATGTTCTTGTAGTAATCAAGTCAAATGTCTTCTAATAGGAATCAAGTCAAATGTCTTCTAATAGCAATCAAGTCAAGCCTTCTTATAGTAATCAAATCATATGTCTTCTAATAGTAATGAAGTCCCTTTATATCTGACAGCAGCCTTAGCATATTTGAACTTTCAATTTCTTAAGTGTTAAATGGAGCATGGACCACAAATCGATCAACATTCTTTAATTTTAGAAGCACATATAACATTTTAGAAGATCTAATAAGTAAAAGTTTCGCCCCTATTAAAATTAAAAATATGAATTTACATAGTGGAATAATTCAAAGAATTACAAATTTTATTATGTTGTTTGTTGTTGTTTCTTATCCCACTTGGCTGGCCAAGCCCACGAGCCCATACGTACTCATGATTGAAGGGGAAGGAAGCAGCTTCTGTTGTGATGGAGCACCCGTAGGTGGAAGTCTGACTTTGGCTCCGTGACGCTCTTACAGTCATAGGAGACCGGGACCTACGGCTTAAAGTGGATTCCGAACCACTACAAACATCCATGGCACCGCCGGGATTCGAACCCGAAACCTGCGGCACCGAGGCGCCAGAGCGCTAGAGAGTCGGCCATTTAGGTCCCAAATTTGTGAATGCCAACGGCACGCGGTGTTCGCAGGTGGTCACCTACCCAAGTACTGACCACGCCCAATGATGCTTAACTTCGGTGATTTAACGAGAACCGGTATATTCACCATGGTATGGCCGTTGGCTAAAAATAACACTTTGGCAGCGGTGGGATACAATTTTATTATAAAAACAGTATGATATAATCATACATGAAATTGTTTTAATTTAATTTTAATATGATCTACACAATATTTGTACAAAATATAACTTTATTCAGCATAAATTGAAACACTTTGATCTTTGGCAATTAAAAATTCAATTGAAAACATTTCATTCTATGTACATATTTTTGATTCATCGAACATAAAACAGAAATTCGAAAAGAAAAATAATCCAGTAGAAATAAAACTTTGAATTCTAGATTAACTAGAAATAGCGATAAAAATCTTATATATTTCAAAATAATCTTCAATGATCTTTTCCCAAAAGAGTTACCATTCCTCTTTGCACAAACATAAAAACAAATGCCAAATCCGCCTGCAAATTTATTTTCACGCCATTTTTCAAACTAATCGCAAACTTCAACCGAATATCCACATAACTGAACCTAAATTAATAATTCTTCTTCAAAAATTATGCTTATAAAGGAAAAAACAAGCATCCACTTGAAATGGTCCAAGCATTTAAGAAAAATAAATATTTAGTTACTTTGGGATAAAAATTCCTTTTCTTTTCTTTTCTTTTCTTTGCATTTTTCTTTCTTAAGTTGTTTGACGATGCATCTGCTCAACATACTACGCTAACAATAACTAATTCGACCTATAATTTGGAAACTTTTGAAACATGGACACAGCAGCTCTTTTTTTTAAAAAAAAAATCCATTCCAATTTCGTTATTCTGTTCAGTTCGCTCAGAGCATAAATGTATATTTCTTTCTTTAATGCAGAAAGAAAGTAATTTATTTACTTTTTTTTGTTCAGAAATAAAAATCCGTTAAAGAAAAAAAATTTGTCGTTTGAAATCCAAACACAATCGACTTAATATTACATATATTACAAACATATACATACAAACATTACATACCTATACACACAAACACATACAAATATTATATATAGACATACAAACATTGCATATACACACATATTATTCATATACGCACAAACACGTACATGTACATACTTACACATACATATACACACATTGCATACATATACAAACACATACATATATACACATATACCCTCATTACATACATATACATACCTACACATAAATAAACACACATTACATACATATATACATACATGCATATACGTGCATACATGCACGCATTGCATGCATATACATACATGCATACATGCACGCATTGCATGCATATACATACATGCATTTCATACATTGCATACATATGCATACATACATATACATGCATACACATACACACATACATACATATATACATACGCATACATACATATACATATACATACACACACATACAAACATTACATACATATACATACAAGCATTCATTACATACATATACTTATACATACATTAAATACATATACATACGTATATATCGAGTCTTTTGTTAAGTAAAAGTTAGCGTGTTAAAGTTTTAGACGCTGTATACACCATATCAGTTCGGATGGAAATCGAAACGCATGCGGTTTCGTTTGTCAGCTTTCAGGAGTGAAGAATTATCGCTCGGCCTCGTGTCGTTTTTCGAACATGCTGGACATTAATTAAAAATAGCGATAGAAATCTCATATATTTCAAAAAAATTTCCAAAAGTACATTCGATGATCTTTTTCAAAAGAATTACCATTCCTCTTTGTATAGAAATAAAAACAAATGCCACATCCGCCAGCAAATTTATTTTTACGTCATTTTTCCAACTAATCGAAAACTTCACTCAAATATCCACATGGTTGAACCTAAATTAATAATTCTTCTTCAAAAATTATGCTTATAAAGGAAAAAACAAGCATCCACTTGAAGTGGTCCAAGCGCTTTAAGAAAAATAAATATTTAGCTACCTCGGGATAAAAATGTCTTTTCTCTTAAGCAATGTTTTTTCTTTCTTTTCTCTGGAACATTTCGGATGCATTCTTCTTCC